AACTGCAATGGAATAAACACATTCTCAGTGATTTCCATGGGCAGTATTGCCAGTAAACCAGGGACAATTGTCCTGTTGTGGTTAACTTCTTGTTTCAAATTGATAGGTTATGAAAATATGACTCTTCTAATTGGTGGGTAATCATAGTGTGTCTTTCCAGTGCTGAAGGAATAATTCTGTTAAATCTGACTGAGGTGCTATATAACTGTTATGGTCCAGAAAAAAAACCCTTGATTTTTTTGTGGTAAACGATGACAGTTAACTACTTGTTGTGGAAATCCGTTTATATCTGTAAAACACAATAACTACAGTGAAAACAGAAACAGCCCAGGCAAGTTGGATCTGCTCTCAGATATAATAATAGTGTCCAAAGTAGCTTTACTGATTTGATTGAACTCAATAAGGTTTTTAAGTTGAATGGAAATGGAAACAGACTTCTGGGATACAGGCACACAAACTAGTTTACCATTGGGTAAAAGAAGGCACAGATTTACTACCCTATTGTTTCAACAGTGCTGCATATAAGTTGACCTCATTTTCAGGTTCAAGTGTCGGCAAAACAGCTTTTGGAGTGCAGCACTGTTTTCCCGTTGAAATAAAAGGGAAACTGCCCATATAACTTGGTTCCAATTTGTGTTTGTCATCTTTTCATGTCCGTGTGCTCTTGTTGTGGGTGTTGGTGGCCCTCCTGTTCAGGTGATGCTAAGGCAGTCAGTTATTTTCACTGATTAACAGAGCCAGAAGATACCCCTACATAAAAATGAAGAGGTAGGTGGAAGGATCTGAGGGGCCAGCACTGAGCAGGGGAAGAGGAGAAAGGGGCTTGTAGAACTGCTGCACAAGGTCTAGTACATCTGGCACTTGGGTTCCAGTGGGCTCTTGGTTCTGACTGGAACTCACAAGCTGCCTGATGTGGTAAAACCAGCTCCAGAGAGGAGTGTCTGTCCCTGTGAACAATGGTGGTTTTCCTCCTTACTCCACAAACAAAATTACATTTTTTATGGGGCTTTGAAGTTAAGCCCTGTGGCATGAGATACATTAGTCAGATTCCTGATCTCTCTCCACAAAAAGAAAGGTAGTTAGGCATGCTGTGCTAGTCTGAAGTCGGTCAGAAGATGGGGTATGCACCTTTAGAAACTAAATACCATATTATATATTGAAAATATGAATCCGCTAATTAGTAAGTAACAGTTTGTCTTTGCAGTGCTAAAGGACTGAAAGTATTGAACTGTATATATGTGTGTGTGTGTGTGTATATATATTTGATATTTAGTTTGTGAAAGCTTGTGCATGTTCTCTCTCACTCATTTTATATATATGAGAGAGAGCACACAAGCTTTCATAAACCCAAGTTCACTTCACTGGCTGCTCTCTTCCCCAAGGTATCCTTGGACTTGAAATAGGGAAGTGATGCCTAGTTCTGTGCCAGTGAGGCCCCAGGAACCAAGGTGGATCCTCAAAGAGAGGGCAAGAACAGAGGTGCAGGGGGGTGATTTAATAGGGCAGTTGGGGTGCTGTTGTGGGGTGGCCAAATCCTCCTGACCTGGGGGTTATTTTGTGCACCATGAGGAAAGACTGGGCTCATGGGATCCAGCCAGGGACTGGGCCAGAGGAGCAGCTGAAGGCTCTGCTGATGGAGCATGTGGCTACACGTGACTGCTCTGATCAGCTCAGTATTGTCCATGTCCAGCCCCCGCCCCCCACAACCACCACTGCCTCCTTCATGCAAATGCTGCTGCTGCCAGGAGCAACATGAGGCTAGTGCAGGGATTGCGGTGTAATGACACCCCCCTCCCCCCCGAGAATGGTGAACACATCTACCCCTTACCAGGTCCTTCTAGTGGCTTGTGGGTGCAGGACAATGGCAGATCCCGAGGGCTGGGGACATCTGCTCTGCCCCGCCACATCCCATAGTTCCTTGGAAGCACTGGCAAGTGTCACCTCCATCCCACCCTGGTCCACTCTACTCCACTCCACAGCCAGGAGCACTTGGAGCCTGGCTGGCTGAAGAGCACTGTTTGGCATGCTCTGGCCATGGGCCTGGAGCCTGGCCAATGAAGCCTGAGTGGCTTAGAGCAAATGATGCCTTCCCTTCTTCCTCAGCCCAGGCTCAGGTGACACAGAACAAGAGGACATTGTAAAGCACAAAGGTGGCAGCTACTTCTCATGGAGACCTGCTCCATCCATTCTTAACTGAAGACCCAAACAGATGGAGGCTTAAGAGGCTTAAAAGTCGCAAATGGTTTGTACATGAAGCCCACAAGCTCCTGGAAGAGACAAGGGATGCTGAACCAGACATATGGGCAGCAATGGAGTAGGCTGACTGCTGGGAAAGATCAGAGCTATTCGTACAGTTTTATACCAACACCAAGCAAGTTCCCCATTGAGCACAACCTTGACAGAGAAGCATGGGTCAGAGCTGAACAGACTTGAGATCTGGGTACAGACGCTTCAAAACAACACTTCACAAGAACATCTTGGACAGCCTCTTGTGTGAACGAGTGTCCTACAGCACAACACTTATTCAAAAGCTGCAGTGTTTACAGATTGCAGACAGCCTCAGACACGGGAAACCTATAAGTCATGTATGATGGTCTGAAGAAAGCTCTGGGCCCTACTGTCAACAAGGTTGCTCCTCTCAAGTCATGCAGTGCTGAAGCCATTACAGATGGAAGCAAGCAGATGTCTCATTGGGTTGAACACTACTCAGAGCTATACAACATCACTAGTGAATCACTGGACCAAATATCAACTCTACAGGTCATGCCAGAGTTGGATGTGGAACCCACTGTAGAAGAGTTAAGCAAGGCCATTGATTCATTATCAAGTGGCAAGATGGTATCCCAGTGGGAATTCTCATGTATGCGGGGGGGGAAGCCTACTACCATATCTTCATTAGCTGTTACTCAAATGCTGCAAAGAGGGTGAGGTATCACAAGACGTGTGACGCAAACATCAGCACTCTATAAAAATAAAAGGAGATGAGGGTGACTGTAACAACTGCAGAGGTGTTTCACTACTAAGTACAGCAAGAAGAGCTTTTGTAAGGGTCAACTTGGTGCTCCTACAACACTTAGCAAGTTGTGTGTACCCTGAATCTCAGTGCAGATTCAGGGCTGGAAGATCAACCATAGACATGATATTTTCCCTGCGACAACTTCAAGAAAAGTGCAGAGAGCAAAACCACCCATTGTACATTGCTTTCATGGATCTAACCAAAGCATTTGACACTGTTAGCAGAACAGGTCTTTTTGCAGTCCTAGAAAAGATAGGATGCCCACCAACCCTGTTAAGTTTTATACATTCCTTCCACGACAACATGAAAGCAACTTGTTCAGTTTGATGGGTCCACTTTGGACAGCTTCAACATAAAAAGCAGAGTGAAACAAGGATGCATTCTTGCCCCTACACTCTTTGGAATCTTCTTCTCTGTACTCCTAAACTGTGTATTTAAAGACATGGAAGGTGGAGTGTACCTCCACACGAGATCAGATGGGGAAACTCTTCAACCTGTCATGACTTAAGGCAAAAACTAAAGTTAGAGAAGTGCTTTTCAGGGAGCTTCTGTACAGCCCATGAAAAAGATCTACTACAAGAACTCATGGATCACCTCTCAAGAGTTTGCCAGGCATTTGCTCTCACCATCAGCATAAAGAAAACAGTTGTGCTAGTACAGGGAGTTCCCCAAGATCCATCAATCACTCTTAATGAGAACCAGCTACCCACCGCACAAAAGGTCAGCTACCTAGGCTCCACAGTGACCACCAACCTCTCACTGGATGAAGAACTTAATGTTTGCATTGGAAAGGCTGCCACGACTTTCGGTACACTAACTAAAAGAGCATGGAACAACTCAAAGCTTACCATCAAGACCAAAATGCTAGTATACAAAGTTTGTGTACTCAGCACTCTCGCGTATGGTGGGGAAACATGGAAGTATGAATATTAAGAGAAAAGGTTCAGCACCTTCCACCTGCATTGTTTATGCCACACACTCAACATCAAATGGCAAGATAAAATTACTAACATATAAGTTCTTCAAAGGGCAAATTTACCAAGTGTGACAGCCCTACTCAAACAGAGACAACTGTGCTGGCTAGGCCATCTGAGCAGATTGGAAGATGGACCCAAGGACATGCTATATGGGGAACTATCAAAGGGAACAAGAACAATGGGATGTCCCAAACTTTGCAACAAAGACGCATGCAAGTGAGATATGAAGGCATTTGGAACTAATCCTGACCAATGGGAAACCTTGGCATCACTGTCTCCACCAGGGCATAAAGTCCATGACAGGAATTGGCTTGAACAGTATGAAGATAATAGAGTTCGGAGGAAGCAATCATGAACCACACAATCATGCCACATACGCTTGCAACCATTGCCACAGATAATGCAAATCTTGGATTAGACTATTCAGTCACATGAGACACTGGAAACCATCTACACCATAGGCTGCACTATCCACTGTCTCTCACAGATAAGAGGATGCCAATCAGTCTTTACAAATGCCCAGATGGGGCAGAGGGAATCCACACATTGAGTGATAATACCAGACGGTGGTTCCTAGATCCGTAAGTTGGTATCTGATGCCATATGAAACAGAAAAAGAGAGAGGACTTGTGAGAAACACAGGAGTCTTTACTCCTCCTCCCCACCTCTTCCAACAAAACAGTTGCTCATTTATTCTCTGATTATAACCCTGAGACATGTATAAGACTAATGGGAGATTTCAGCAGGCTGGAGAAAGCACAGCAATAAGAAGGTGCTTGACAGAAAATCACCACAGAGGATGGGATATGTTACAATGCAGAAACCCAAGCAGAAAAATCACTCCCTCTGTTTATTTGTTTATTTATTTTTCATTCTGACCAAGTAACAATGAGATTGGATGGTCCCAGACTTTGGGGGGTCTTTCTGCAAAGTATTGGCTGTGCGAGTATCTGGGTCTTGGCAGCAAGCATTTAATTTGCTTTCCCCTGTGTTTTGGTTCTTTGCAGGGTTGTCAGACAGAGTGCCTAGCTGGAGGATGTACAGGGGGAGCCACGAAGCAAGTGACTGAATCTTTCAAGGTAAGTTCCTTAGAAAAGGACGTGTGCCTGTGACATGTTGGTATAGACTAGTGACTCTCAACCCAGGTGGCAAGATCTTTTGAAGAGTGCTGCAGGTAGCATGAATCATAGAAGGTTAGGGTTGGAAGGGACCTCAGGAGGTCATCTAGTCCAACCCCCTGCTCAAAGCAGGACCATCCCCAACTAGATCATCTTAACCGAAGCTTTGTCTAACCGGGTTTTGAAAATCCTCAAGGATGGAGTTTCCACCACCTCTCTGGGTAACCTGTTTCAGTGCTTCACTACCTTCCTAGTGAGAGAAGTTTTCCTAATATCCAACCTAAAACTCCTGTGCTGCAACTTGAGACCATTGCTCCTTGTTCTGTAATCTGCCGCCACTGAGAACAGTTTAGCTCCATCCTCTTTTGAACCCCCCTTCAGGTAGTTGAAGACCACTATTAAGTCTCCTCTCTCCTCTGAGGAGCTAAGCAAGGTGTGAGGGGGATCAGCAGGTAAGGACAGGATCAGGCTCCAGGTATGAAGAAATCAACAGATAAGGGTTGGTGTGAGGAGATCAGCTGGTGATAGGAGGATCAGGTTCGACGGGTGAGGGGATCAGCAGGTGAGGGCAGGATGAGGCTCTCCCTACCTGGCCACTCCCCTGCTCATACTGCTTGGCTCCTCTGCAAGGAGGTAAGTACTGTAATCATAAGAAGATGTAGAATTTTGAAAAAGGGGGTGCAGATGGTGACGTGAATCGTCATATATGAAACACATATTTTCTCTGGTTAGTAAAGCTTCTAGTTCATTTTTAATATACCAGGGAGCCTACAGCTGTACTGAAGCAAAAACAAATATAACTTTGTTAGAATGAGTTAAAAACATTCCACAGGGCTATGAAATAGGAGCTTCATTTCCAGGAGTAGCTAACAGGCAGCAGAATTGCAGAACAAAGGAGGGCTTGATTGGTGGAATATCAAGATCATTAAAAAGAACAGAGGGCCCTTAACATCTGTGGGATGAAGAGTTTAGAAGGGATCAGGTAGATCATAATGAGCCATGGAATCAATCGACTTTCTCTGCACTGTCTGACTAGAAATGCTGCTGCTGCCACCAATCAGTTGGTTTTAAACTTTGGGTGGACTAGGAATCAAAGTGGGGGTTGCAAATGTACCAGTCCACCCCCACTGGATCTGCCCCTGGTTCTAGTAAATAATATGTTGTGTTTTGTTTTTTTTAATGGAGTGTCACTGAATTCATAAAATTTATGGAAGGGGCCTCGAGTCTAAGAAGATTGAGAACCACTGGTATAGACAATCCCCTTAAAATACTGATGATCATTATGCATGAATTTGGATTCATTGTCTTGTATTAACATCATAACCCCAGACATACAACATAAGTTTTACATTTTTTCATAATACATTCTGTACACATGAACTTGGGGAGACATTAGGGTATAATGAAATTTAATCAATATTTTTTCTTATTATATCAAATACATATCCATTAATTCTTTAAAAATCCATTTTTATATTATGTAATGACTAGCTATATCATCATGTCCATATGTAATGCAATACAGTCTAAGTTTGATTCTTCCTCCAGAGAGAAACTGTCTTATATTCTATATATAATTATCAATGTATTTGTTAAGTTATGGCTATGTGCTTGCTATCTGGGAACTTGCCATTTTCAGCTGGTTTCAAATGTGAAGAATCAAAGATACAGGCAACCTTAATTCCATGGCTCTAGTGAGCTCAACATATTCAGCAACCAAACAGTACTACAATAATAATTAGTGCTGATGAGCTTCCAGGAGTTAATGTCAGGGAGTGCCATCTTTTAATTGTTTTAAATTCTAAATTTATTATCTCTCTTTCCCCTTTTCTCAGTAAAAATGTATTGCTGATAAATAAAAGCAGTGTTAATCAGTATATATGTTACCTTCTATTGTTTCTAGATAGTTTTGCTAGGTAATTGGAGCACAGCAGTGGTGCCACAAAACCAGTTATGCTATTCTTCGTTCTTTTTTTACTCTTCCTTCTGACCTCATTTCTACGTATTCTTTGTCTTGTCTGCACTCTCTTCCCTTTCTTCCTTTTCTCACATCTTTGTACCTTTTTCCCCTTTCTCTCTCTCTCCCCCCGCCTCTCTCTCAGTTTTACATTCACATACTTTAAAAAGCACCATCTAACTTCCACAAATGTTTTAAAATATTTTCCTAAAGTAGAAATGTTCTGTATTTTTTTTTTGGCATTTCATTTCCTGTTATTGCTGGCTACCACCACAAAGGGAATGAAATTATAATGAATCCTTTTGTAATCATCTTGCTCTTCCTGATTTTTGCATGGTGTGTTAATCCAGTGCGCATTTCCAAATTGTGCCTAACTAGTTGTTGTTTCCCTCCTAGCTGTCAGTCAGCAATTATACATAAATACTGACTCAAAATTATGATTTAGGGTGACTCTTCAGCTCAAGGTTCTTTCCTGGAAAACACTATTTTAAAAAATAGGGCATAAATATCCAGTTATAAACCTCTATGATAGATATGGAGCTCCATTGACTCATCTGCATTAGTAGATTAGGTAGGTCTCATTAGTTTCACTCTGTTTGGGGTGGGGGGGAAGAAATCTAAAAGGCAGTGGATCTTCCTGTCTGCATATGTTAACACAAACATCTGTTGAAACAATGCGTTATAGCTTGCCAAACTTCCCTATGCTATTTCTCCTCTCATGTTGAAACTTCTGGCAGTTACCAAAAGAAGGGTGAACAGTACCAGAGGGCCAGTGTGTTCTCATTATTTTGGGGCCACAGGCAGACTGGGTATAAATCAGAGCAGCCCTAAGGATGCTTTAAATTACACAGGCAGTCAGACAGGTCTCCATCAGGCTCTGAATGCTGGGAGGCACAAAGCTAGCTTAATGCTGCTTTCTTTCCTTTCCCTTTCATTTCCTTCCATTCTCGTATTTCAGCTGGAATGCGGAATTGTGGCCCAAGCCCGTATCTGAGGCAAGGGAGTGCTAGCTAGAGGGACAAATGGCCATGAAGGCTCAAACCTTAAAAAACCCAGCCACTCAGACTGCTGTCTGATTTGTAAATCTATTCCTGCCTTACGGCTGTGTCACTTAAGAATAAATGTAAGCCCCAGAGAAGGGTACACTTTTAGACAATATTATATTATATTTGTCAGTATTGCATGGGGATATTGCCTGTCACACTGTGCAGAATAAAAACAGAAAACTCCAAACCAAACCAAAGCACTTTGTGACTGGTCGTGGAAGCAAACAGCAACATTGTGACTTCAGAAACAATGAGTAATAATAAAGGAATTGTGAACAGGGAAGCTGATTATATTAGAGAAAGCAGCTGTTTATGCACTAGTAATCCAAGATTTTCAGAATGGAAAGAAAAACAGAAAAAGGGGTAATAGTGTTTAACTTAAAATGCATTGTGTGATATCCACTGCATAATGACAGTCATCCTCTTGAACCACCATTTATTTTTAAAATTTAGTTTTAAAATCCTGGGTTAAACTCCAGTGAGAGATTTTTGATTTTTTTTTTTTCTCTGGCACAAAGCTTGCAAAACATCCCATTGTGGACTGGTGTGAAGTGCACCTAATGAACCCAGTGGCCTGCCAAGTCCTTTGGCTACCTGTTCTTTGTTGTCAGATTTCAGTGGCAGTAGACTAAATCCTGCATTTCTAAACTCCCATTTATTGTTAATAAATAGCTTTTATATATGATCCATTTTTTCACGATCAGCAAGCTAAGCCTTTGTTCTCAAAATGCTATATTTTGTACTATCAGCCTTAGATTTACAGTTAATCTATTACGATTGATCAAGGTAGAGATGGTGTACTTTGTGATTCCAGGGTTTGTACTTCTCGTGCCTGAACTGAATTAGTTCTGCATATAAAGGATTTCATTCTACAGAGTGGTGTCAACCCAGCAACCCTTTCCACAATAAAATGTTTTTGCATTTTTTCAAGGGGTTCTGAATGAAGGTAGCTTCAAAACAAGAAACTAACAGTATTTTTGCAGCTTTTTTTATATCAGCAGAATCAAGCTTCCAGTTTTGGATTTAAAAGAATAAAATACATAAAAAAAGCAGGGAACAATTATTGAAATTGCAACTGCAAAAGCTTCATACAAAAACAGATATAGCCAAATATTCTGACATGAAGTGACGCCATGCTATCATAACATGATTGTGATTTAATGCTTCTTAGAGTTTGTGGTTCCTTTTTTTTTTTTTAAGTTAGTTATGGAAAATGTGCATTTAATTTGTCTATGTTTCTTTTTTTTTCCTCCTCTCTCATGATATAACTGTAGGGTAGAGTTTATGCTGCTTATGTGTCCCAACTGTTTCATCCCATAGGGTGCGTCTACAATGCAAAGTGAAATTAATGTGAAGCAATAAACTCCAGTGCTCATTGTACTGGAGTTTATTGCTCCCAGGTGCTCTGTTTACATGTGCATCTGGGACTGCCGCACATTGAGCCCATTCAGAGCAGTCCTTGGCTGGCAGGCTGACCCCCTGGGCCCACTGCCAGTCAGGGCTGTTCCAACCCAGCTCAACGTGCTGCAGAGGGTTTGGCTGGGGCACAAAGGTGCTCTAGTGAGGGGCCAGCTGGCAAGAAGCCTCCACACTGAAGCACTCTTGTGCCCCAGCCAGCCCTGTCAGCATCTACATGTTCATTGCTGCGGAGTAAAGTACTCCACTTCAGGATTGTACTTGTATTAGTTTACTCCAGCCTAATAGCACCACGCATGTAGATGGTGACATTTTATTGCAGAGCTAATTGGGCGGTAAATGTCTCATCTAGGCATGCCCATACTTTATCATATTTAGCCATAAACATCCTGGCTTTGTAATACTTTGTTTCGGTATAATTATAGTATCTCTGATTCTCATTTCTAACTTCGAAATTACTGAAACTTATTCTGAATCTTAACTCTGTCTTTCTTTCTTTTTGAACCCTAACCTAACTCTACATTTCCCCCCCCTTAAGTCAT